ATCAAAATTTGCACATTAGTCCTAAATGACACAATAGACCTATTCCAATTCCCAGGATTGAAATTTGAACCGGTATCAACAAAGTCAACTCTCAGTCAAACCTCTTAACCTTTCAACCTTCAACTTTTTAACATTCGCCAATTCAAGCAGAAATAACCTACGGACCTCCAAATCAACATCCGGACATACGCCTAAATCCAAAATCACCATAAGAAGCTATTAAAATCATCAAAATACCATTCCGGAATCGTCTACACAAAATTCAAACTTGGTCAATTCTTACCACTTAAGATTCTAAAACAAGAACCATTCTTCCAAATCCATCCCGAATCACCCAAAAATCGAATCTGACCATATACTCAAGTCATAATACACAATACGAAGCTACTCGAGACCTTAAGCCACCGAACGAGACGCTAATTCTCAAAATGACCGGGCGAGTTATTATATTCTCCCACTCTTAAATAATTTTTCGTCCTCGAACGAGTATAGAGACATACCTGAAGTGCTGAAAAGGTGAGGATAACAGCTACACATATTATGCTCATTCTCCCAAGTTGCCTCCTCGACTAGTTGACCCCTCCATTGAACTTCACGGAAGCAATGTTCTTTGACCTTAATTTTCGGACCTGCCTATTCAAGATGGCCATCGGCTCCTCAACATAAGTCAAATCCTTATCCAAAACCCAATGAGATTGAGTCATAAGCTCTATAGAAAATACTAAAATCATCTGAATAAAGGATAAATAGTAGTAAGTGATAACATAAGGTGACTCCGAAGCTTGCGGACGTCGAGCAGGTATACCTTGAAGTCTCCAAAAGTAGCGATCAATCACTGGCGTCTGGCACGAGCAGATGTACCTGGATCTGCACAAAAATATGCAAAAGTATAGTATGAGTATACCATAATGGTATCCTATAAATATCAAGCCTAACCTTAGTAGAGTAGTGACGAGGCCATGTCAAGACACCTACTAGGATAAAGTAAAGTAAACAGGGTATAAGATGGTATAATAATGAAAGACGAGAAAGTAAATGACAAGTAAGTAGTAGAATAATATAGACTAACCACGAAAATATAAGCGGTAAAGGCATCAAGTAGTGAATGCATGAGGAAAACAACAAGTAGACAAGTAAGAATAATTACAAGTACAACAATGAAGGAACAACAAGAACTACTCAACCAACAAGCATTTTAACATGAGAGGTACTGCCTCGTTTTCACATTTCACAATTTCAGTCACAATCTCTTTTATATCACCGCATAAGCCTTGCATTTAGTTTTAAAAATTATTTTTTCCGAAATAGCTAAACGCATTTTAAGCAACTTTATCTTACCGCATGACTTCAAGTAATTTCCCTACTAACAACACACGTATCGAGCCACCTTATCTCACTACATGAGTTTAAACCCCAAGCCTTATACTACCGCATGCGTATCAATATCACAACACAATCACATCTCGCACCACAGTGCCCATATGCCACAACTTACCAAAAAGTTAACAACACTAATATTTCCACAACTGATAGCCCATGGCTCAATCACACTATTTTTAATAATCTCAATAACATTAAGATGAATGAGGAATACCAAATAAGGAAAGATACTTCAACAATTAACAACTTCATCCCAATGTGATAACGGCTTTTACAACTTCAATACCAATAACTCAACAAGAAGATATTCAATGAAATAACAACTTCAAGTACGGGTAATTCAACAATAAAGAGGTAAAAATACAATAAGGAAAGTTACAACTTCAATGAATCATATGTAAGTAAATATAGCAAGTAATAGGTAGAACAAGTGCTAACAACGTATAATAAAACATGTAAGAGTAGATTAACACATGTAACAGTAGACTAACAACGAAAGATATAACATGTTATGACAACTCAATTAAAGGCATGGAAAGAGTCTAAATAACCTAAATCGGTCAAATACCACATATAACTCGTGTACACACTCATCACCTCGTATACACGTCTTTCATATAATACATATAGCACAATCAACCCAAAACTTAAGGGGTAGTTTTCCCACACAAGGTTAGACAAGATACATACGAACAAGCTAAAACAACCCACTAGTAAGCCTTTTTCGCCATAATTCAACTCCGAACGGCTCAAATCTAGCTAAAATAACTTAATACCATAGATACAAACCATAGGAAACTATTCTGGTTAATAAATTTGCAATCATTAAGAAAAATCAAAAAGTCAACTCAAAAAGTTAACCACGGGCCCGTACCTCAGGACCCGACTAAAATTACAAAATTCGGATACATCATTCAACAACGAGTCCAACCATACCAAAATTATCCAATTCTGACCTCAAATCGACCTTCAAATCTCCAATTTATAGTTTAGGAAAGTTTTCACAAAATTCCCAATTTTCTCCAATTCAAAACACTAATTAAATGTTAAAAACAATGATGGAATCATGAATAGTAAGATAATCTGAGTCAAGAACACTTACCCTAATCCAAATATTGAAAATTCCTTCCAAAATCACCCAAAACCGAGCTCGACAACTCAAAATATGAAAAATAACTAAAACCCTCGATCTTCTCTATTTCTGCCCAGTGATATCCACTTCTGCGGCCACTCAGTAGCGTCTGCGACTCCGCACGTGCGAAAAATGCTATGGCTGATGCGGCCCCAACTAAGCTCAGGGACTTCCTTTTCTGCAGCACAAACAACACACATGCGCTTCCGCTTCTGCACCAAAGACTCCGCACTTGCGACCTCCCCCCAACGTTCAAATTTCGCATCTGCGGAACAATTCCTGCTCTGGCGGTTGCGCATCTGCACACTCCTGTATGCACCTGCGGGCACAGTTAACCAATGCCCAAAATGCTTTTGCAACCCCATGGCCACTTCTGCAATCTCACACCTACGGCCAAAATCACGCAAGTGCGATCACACCAGAAGCTTTAAGCTTCAGCAATTTCCTTAAGTTCAAACTCAATCCGAATCATACCCGAGGCCCCCGAGATCCACCCAAACATATCAATACATCCTAAAAATGATAGAAACTTAGCCGAAGCCTCAAATCACACGAAACAACATCAAAATCATGAATCACACCCCAATTCAAGCCTATTCAATCATTGAACATCCAACTTCTAAAACCAATGACGAAACATACCAAATCAATTCCGAATGACCTTAAATTTTGCACACTAGTCCCAAATAATACAATGGACCTATTCCAATTCCCAGGACTGAAATTCGAACCCTTTATCAATAAAGTCAACTATCGGTCAAACCTCTCAATCTTCCAAACCTTCAACTTTACAATTTTCACCACTTCAAGCCAAAACGACCTACAAGTCTCCAAATCAACATCCAAAAAATCACCATAAGAACCTATTAGAATCATCAAAATACCATTCCAGAGTCGTCTACACAAAAGTCAAACTCTGCTCAACTCTTACTACTTAAGCTGCTAAAATAAGAATCAATCTTCAAAATCTATCCTAAATCACCTGAAAACCTAACTGACCATACACACAAGTCATAATATACAAAACTACTCGAGACATTAAGCCACTAACGAGACGCTAATTCTCAAATTGACCGGTCGAGTCGTTATATTATCCCCTTCTTAAACAAACGTTCGTCCTCGAATGAGTATAGAGACATGCCCGAAGTGCTGAAAATGTAAGGATAACGACTACGCATATCATGCTTGGTCTCCCAAGTCACCTCCTCGACTAGTTGACCCCTCCATTGAACCTTCATGGAAGCAATGTTCTTTGACCTCAACTATCGGACCTACCTATCCAAGATGGTCACGGCTCCTCAACATAAGTCAAATCCTTTTCCAATTGGATTGAACTAAAATCTAACACATGGGATGGATCACCATAATACTTCTGGAGCACGGTAAAATGGAACAACGGATGAACTGCCGATAAGCTGGGTGGTAATGAAAGCTTGTAAACCACCTACCCCACTCTCTCAAGGATCTCAAAAGGACCAATATACCTAGGGCTCAACTTGCCCTTCTTCCCAAACCTCATCATACCCTTCATGGGTGAAACCCGCATCAAAACCCCCCCTCTCACCATAAATGGCACATCACGAACCTTCTAATCAGCATAACTCTTCTGTCTAGACTATGTTGTATGAAACCGATCCTGAATCAACTTGACTTTCCCCAAGGCATCCCGAACCAAATTAGTTCCCAACAACCTAGCCTCTCCCGGCTCAAAACCAACCAACTGGAGAACGACACCACCTCCCATATAAGCCTCATAAAGAGCCATCTAAATACTCGATTGATAAATGTTATTGTAAGGAAACTTGGCAAGCGGTAGAAACTGATCCCAAGAACCCCAAAATATTTATTTATTATGCTATGTGCATCAACTTGATCATAGACTTAATGAATATAATTTTCTCTAACTTAGATTATATAATTTTTTCATGAACACTTTTTCTTTAGCTAGAGTGATAGAGACCCTTGTTTTGAAAAAGATCTTGAAATTTTCCCAACAATATTAGCAAAAACATGAATTGTATCTAATCATATATTTTTGATTTATTTTTATTAAGAAATATATGCATTAACCTCTCTTATGATTTCTTCAATAATCATTAAATTATAGGAATCCAAGCAAATAAATTAGCAAGCACGTATAGCTTTTAGTGACTTCCTCATAAGTTTGCGATACAATAATTTATCGGTGGTAAATAGATATAATATTTTATTTTTACTTTGCAAAGTATATTTGAAGCTACTCAGCTAAAATCTTAAACTCCTCTTCAATTTTTATTATAAAATATGTTATCAACTTTTAATATCTCTAACTAATATTGAGTTAGTGTTATTGCTCATGTAATGCGAATCTAAGTACGGAATTGAAGAAATTAAAGACAAGATAGAAATTAAGAATGGACCCAACAAAGAATCATTTTTCAGACAATTGAAATAATCAATTACCCAACAGATTACAATACTTAGTAAACCTAAACTATAAGATTACCCACAAGAGAAATTATTGTGAATACACCTTGCAAGAGTTTGAATCAACAAGTTGGAAATACATGCTTCTCACAATTCTTAAATATTCAAAGATAAGCTAAACTAGAAATGACCTCATCATATATTATTTATAATAGGTCCAAATAAGGCAAGAAAGATATAAGTACCCCTAATGGGTCTAACTACTATGCCCACATGGGAAATCTTATAACCCAAGTCTGCAATCATTGGAAAACATGGCCCATGTCCACATACTTGCATCCAAGTCATCAAGGGAGCACACATGTGCGCCTACATCTACGTAGGCATGGCCTTCCACGTGGGCATAGGGGCATATGCTACGACTTCATCCACGTAGCCTACGTGGTCTCCATGCTCCTCCAAGACCTTCACCCTCAACACATTGTATGCCTTCAAGAGCTTTCCACAATTGTCTTCCAATGCTTCCAAGATATCCTAATTCTTGGTGAAGAGGTGCAAATCCCTTAGTTCCTTAGATTGAGATATTGTGAATGACCTAAATGTCATTGGTGTTCCTTGAGGTGTATCATTCTCCCCTTCTTGATAAGCATTTTCCTCAAATGCAGATCATCATCATTACCTACAACACAAGAAAGCAAGTCACTAATATTGAAAAAATTATGAACTTGATACTTGATAACTAGGGATTCTAGCCTATTTTATGCTCCTTTTGCTTAGGTTTGGATTAAAAGTGTGTATAAGTATTCCCGTAAGCTAACTTATTGTGCTTGTTTGCAGTGTTTGGTAAAAAAAGAGACAAGAAAGTCAAAACCAGCTCATAAAGGAGTAAAACCTTCAGAAGTTCAAAGGTGAGTCAAAAAGGCGCTGACAACAGAGAAACAGACGCGGATGCGGAGGGTCCACCGCTGAAGCGGTCTTGATTATGCTCCCAGCGGTGGCAAGGTTCAGAGAGTTATATTTTGGGCTTGGCAGTCACCGCTGTAACACCTCCTTTTTCCTACCCCGGAAGGGTATAAGGGAGTTTTTTCCAACTTAAAGTGACAATCGAAACAGGATTGTTTATTTATTTTTCAGAGTCGCCACTTGGGATAATTTATGGTGTCCCAAGTCACCGGTTTAAATCCCGAATCGAGGAAAAATTGACTCAATTTTACAGTCCGCGAACACAGAAATCCGGGTAAGAAATTTTGTTAATCCGGGAGAAGGTGTTAGGCATGCCCGAGTTCCGTGGTTTTAGCACGGTTGCTCAACTATTATTATTGGCATAATTATCTGATGTAATTATACATTTAAAACCTATGTGCATTTTTTAACTTTCTAACCGCTTTTAGTATTTCAGGAAAATTAAAAGGTTATTTAAAATAAATCGTAAGCCATGCTACATGAAATGCACTCGCGGTTCACGACACGTTCTATTTAACCTTGTTGGAAATTAGTATCGGGTCACATGAAATGCACACCCGAATTGAGATTACGTATCACAACTATGTCACGGGAACCATACCCGTAGCTATGATTATTTATTATTAATAATGTCCAAAGTATAAGCTAAATTATTGAGTCTTCATCAGTAGGCTATTATAGCAATTAAGTAAAAAGAAAAAGGTCACTGCTCATTATTCAAATGACAGTAACAACTCATTTATAAGATTCAACGACATCTTTTAATGATTTAATCATATTTAACTATATGAAAGGCTAATTATAAAGGGGAAAACAAAACAATCAACAAAACAAAGAAAGAATGAAGACAACAGTAAATGACAAAGAAACTAACGCAACAAGAATCAACAAACAAACTTTCATCAGTTTTCTTCCATCATCAAAAATTATCAAAATTTCATAAGCACAAGGTAACGCTAGAACTAAAAATCCGTGAAAATCGATAAAAATCAGTTTCAAAATATAACCAAACAAAATTAACAAGGCAACATAACAACAAATACAATGATTTCAAGCTATTAAATAAAGCGGTAAAAACAATAGAGACGAACCTTAAGGATTGGATCTATATATAATTACTTGAAAAAAATTCCAACCGCGTACAAATATTGAAAATGAATCGGCAATCAAACTTGAACAGTAGCCACAACAACACCGGAAGACTCGAACAGAACCGGTGACTCGATACCTCAACGACCATACAAAAATGACCTCCGTTAAACCTCATTGCTGGGCCATTTGGAGTTGTTGTTTAGTGCAAAGAACTCCTATTTTTACTAGTTTTCAGGGGTATATGTGCGTGAGAGGCTCTTGGAAATTGGGAATTGGGTAAGGTCGATTTCTGTTTTTGAAGTTGGGGTTTACGACCAATTTTTTTCCCTTTTTTATCCAGAGGTTGGGCGTTCTCTGCTTAGTGGCTAATGATGGAGTTCTTCTGCTAAAGAAGAATGACCTGGTAGGGGGGTCTCCTATGTCTCTGCGGTGGATCAGCCTTTTCCCTTAGGTCTTAGAGTCTAGTCTAGGTCTAATGTGTATTTTTGTGTATTCTCTTTTTGCTGATTGTATCTATTTTCACTGATTTAGGCGTTAGTCTATATATAGCTGATTGTAGAGTCTAGGTCTAGGTTTTTGTAGGCCTTTTTAGGTTAAGGGGTATGTGCCTAGAATTATGGGCTTGAAAATTATGGGCTAGGCCCAAAATTAGGCCTAAAAATGGGTTGCTCGAGCCCAAGTTTTATTCTTTCTCCACGAACGAGACTAAAATACGACCTCATTTTTAGTCCCAAGATTGAAAATGACTACAAAATATTAATGAAAATTATTTTTTTGTAATTATTTTCTTGTAATAAAATAAAGTAAAAGAGTCAAAATTAGTTGAAATAGCGATATTAGGCCTAAATAAAATATTTACATGCTAAAATATAAAAAATCTTGGGGAGGGTCAAAAATCACATGTCTACAGCTGCCCCTCTTTGACTGAAAACACGAAGAGTTTTCAGACAAAGAACGACTAGACAGGTTTTTTGACCCGACCCTTATTTAATGAGACCAGAAGCTAAAAGAAAGGAGAATATGACCGAGCCCTGATATTTGAGCTTCCTACATATCCTTGGCTATAAAGGAATCAGTCTACGTGTAGTTCAGAAGTGAGTGAAATGATGAAGTATACCGAGGTGGAGAGTCGATCGAGGTGTCATTCCATCGAGGTTCCGGTCCGCGGTCCTGCTATTACATCAAATCAAAAAATGAAAAAAAACTAACTAAGCCTGTCAACTATGAGTTACAAGATTCCTATCTATAAGTCTTCTGAAGCTTGATCTTGATTCTTGAATGGTTTTTCATGCAGACTTTGGATTTGAACCTTGACGCTTGCTAGTTGCAGATGCTAGTTCGTTCTTATTCAGCTTTTCGGACCAAAACCGGAAATACCATGCTTGTGACATCAGTCATATCATGAGCAGCTCACATTTTTCATCAACTTTTACATGTGGATTCACTTCTTGCCTTTCTTTTTTATATTCTGGGCTGTGACAAACTTCCGTTGATCATCTCGGATTATTGACTCGCGTTCTTGCCCCGAGATTTTTTGTTGCTGACTTGAATTTCATTCTGAAGTGAATTATCTTATTCTCCTGGTAGGTGCCTGATTTCCAATATTCGAACTGTCGTCCTTTGAATATTGATGCTTTCCCTTTGTTCTCCAGGTGGGCTCATGATTACCAACATTTGCACTGTTTTTCCTTGAGACTTGAACTGTTTCCCTTTGTTCTCCAGGTGGGCTCCTGATTTCCATCACTTGAACTGTTTCTCCTCGAAACTTGAACTGCTTCCCTTTGTTCTCCAGGTGGGCTCCTGATTACCAACACTTGAATTGCTTTCCCTTTGTTCTCCAGGTGGGCTCCTAATTTCCAACACTTGAACTGCTTTCCCTTTGTTCTCCAGGTGGGCTCCTAATTTTCAACACTTGAACTGTTTTCCCTTTGTTCTCCAGGTGGGCTCCTGATTTCCAACACTTGAACTGATTTCCCTTTGTTCTCCAGGTGGGCTCCTGATTTCCAACACTTGAACTGCTTTCCCTTTGTTCTCCAGGCGGGCTCCTAATTTCCAACACTTGAACTGCTTTCCCTTTGTTCTCCGGGTGGGCTCCTGATTACCAACATTTACATTGTTTTTCCTCGAAACTTGAAATGCTTCCTTTTGTTCTATAGGTGTGCTCCTGATTACCAACACTTGAATTGCTTTCCCTTTGTTCTCTAGGTGGGCTCCTGATTTCCGACACTTGAACTGCTTTCCCTTTGTTCTCCAGGCGGGCTCCTGATTACCAACACTTGACTTACCTTCCCTTTGTTCTCCATGTGGGCTTCTAATTACCAACACTTGAATTGTTTTCCCTTTGTTCTCCAGGTGGGCTCCTGATTACCGATACTAGAATTGCTTTCCCTTGAAACTTGATTTGGTTTTCCTTTGTTCTCCAGGTGGGCTCCTGATTGCTGAACTTGAACTACTTCCTCTTGCAACTGCTTTTCCTTTGAACTGTCTTCCCTTGTCTCTCCAGGTGGGTGCCTGATTGCTGAACCTAAATTGTCCTCTTCTTGAAACTGCTTTCCTTTTGAACTGTCTTCCCTTGTTTCTCCATGTGGGTGCCTGATTGCTTTAGCTTTAACTGTCTTCTATTCTTGAAACTCGTGCTGTCTTCCCTGGTTCTTCAGATGGGTGTCTGATTACAACAAAATAGATAAAATAAAAGAAATTTTTCTGCCCCATTTTGATATTGGGAACATCTGTGAGTGTTAACCGATTCTTGTTATCAAAATAAATTCTAAGCTAAATTTTCTTATCCTGAAAATTTCAAACCAAGTCTTATCTCAAAAGTGAAAAACTTTAAATGCTAGATTGTACTTCCCCAAAGTAGAACTTACGTTAAATCTTATTTTGTATGAAGGTCTTGAAATTTAAGTAGGTCCCATTATCCAGGAGGGTCCTGAGAACCACCTTTTTTTCTTCTTTAAAGAAATTAAATCTCATTATCCAGGAGGGCCCTGAAAATTTCAAATTAAATCTCATCATAAGAGTGAAAACTTTAATGCTAAACTATGTTTCCTAAAGGTAGAACTTACACTAAATTTTGTTAACTATGAAAGTCTTTAAATTTAACTAAAGCCCATTATCCAGGAGGGTCCTTAGAACTTTAAATTAAATCCCATTATCTAGGAGGGTCCTGAAAAGCCGAGAATGAACTTACCTGATCCATGCTTTCTTCCTGCAGGATCTTTGCAGAACAAACAAAATTCCTTGCCCCTAAACCATGCTTTTTCTCATGGAGGGTTCCTGTAGATCGAACAAATTTTTCTTTCCCCTTCTGTGCTGACAAAATTTGGGCACGACAGTTGAAAAAAATTCAAACTTCCAAGCTTTGATTTGGACACAATTTTCGTCCCTGTTTCAAACAAAGAAAACTTGTGAGTTTATAAATATGGTGGTTGGTTTGTGGATTTGACTTTGAGGGCGATTGCTCCTTCACTTCCCATGATAACTTTGATTTCAACTCGAAAGACCTTGTTTGTTTAATGACTAACCACTTTCTCTGCCATCCTTTTCACAGAAAATACCTCTGATCTGTTCAAACCCAACATCCTCTATCTGTTGTATTTTGCTCATGAATTGACGTTTAACGCACCTTTGCATTCTACATGAATACCAAAGCACGTTGATTGTTACCAACTCAGTGCACATGTTGTTCTTTCCTGACTTATGCCACTTTGATGTGCTAGCTAGATCTAGTTTTGTGCAATTGGAAAGCTGGTGGCAAATTTTGAAGTTATTTCTCAATTGTTCTGACCAAACAGACTCATGAAAAATAAGTAAACAAGACAAAAGGAACAGAGTAAAGGACAATGGAAAGAGATGATTCCAAACAAGAAAACTACAACGTAGAAACTTATCAGATGTAGATACCACTCTAATGACCATGACATGCACCTTTGGATTAAGTGGCCTAATCTGTCAAGCAAGTATAATGTTCAACTCTTGTTATACCCCTAAACTGTGAAGCAGGGCTTCAATGCTCCGATTATCCAATCTGATTTACAATCCTTATGCGACTTGTAGTGCCCGAAGTGTGCCTATGAAGGTTTTTACCAATAAGACTCTCTTATTTTGTTCTTTTTTTCTTGTTTCCTCTAATTCTACAGATGACAAGGCATTAACTATGGTAAAAACATCATATACCCTTGGCATGTCTAAACTCAGCACTCTCAAAGATTATCCAGGAGGTCTTTTTTGGACTGCAATGTGGCTTTTGGACAGGATTAGAAAGAAAGGATATCATAAAGCCTCAAAATAACTAAGATAACAGGGTTAATTTATTTACAACTTTTGGAATCCATTTCAAAACTTTGCCCCATTTTCTAAAACAAAAGAATTTGATTCTCTCTTTTTTTCTTTTCTTTTTCTTTTTGAGATGGAATTTCTACAAAAGACTATCCCACTCTTGACTTCGTGGGATTATAAAATATTTTATTTGGTATGACCGAATCGTAAGACTGCCTACGTATCTTGTGGTGACAAGAATCAGGTCAAACGTAGTTTACAAAGATAGATTTTATTGTTGCCCTTTTTCTTTTTCTTTTCTTTTCTTTTTCTTCTTTTTTTTATCTTTTTTTTTCTATTCTTCTTTTTTTGGATTTTCCTTTTGGAATGACGCTTTTAAAATAAACCTATGGGGACATAAACCTTTATTTGTATGACTCTAACTTGATTCCAAAAGAGGGGAGGTCAAAGAAATCAGTACAAGCTCAAAAGGGTATCAAATGGTATAAGTGTTTGGGTAGCTGAAAGAGGGTCTTCCAATCCCTGAAAATGCCAAGTACAACACATGCAACTTGAAATAAAAATTGAAGATCATGCACAATATTTCTTTTGCGGCTTCGACATTGATATCACTGATATGCCTTCCACTTTTCTTTAGTGCCTTGTTAAGTACAAAACCCTCATTAGGTGATTCCCTTTTCACAATGGATATCCTCCGTCTATTTGGAGCAAACTACCTTGACTTTATCTTGTAAATTGAGGTGTACTTGAACTCAAAACTGCTCACTTCAATTTGTCCAGGATGCACTCTCCTTTAACGAATTCTTGTCACCCTATTAACTTCCCAAATTATCTGCCCTAGTTTCACATGATTCGGGCTTCAAATGATCTCAAATATTTCCAAATCTATACTTATTTACCTCAAATGTCCCTATCACCTTCAAAATTATTTCATTGCTCCATGATTAAACTAACTATTGAGATCAGACCTAAAATTATGTGTGCGTGTCATGTCACTAGAGCTAGCATGAAAAAAACTATAAAAGAAAACGGGAACTAAACAAAGAATGACTAGAAATAACAGAAAACAGAAAATTGCGTTAGACAAATAGTGAAGGGGTCCGAAAAACAAAACAAGCAAACTAAACTAGGGTTACAACCTTGGAACAAACCTAGATAACATTAAATGAGTTACTACGACTAAGCGAACTAGGAAAAATAAAAGGATAGAAGGGTTTGAG